CTCTCCAAGCATGTCTCACTTAATAAAGCCCAGCCCTCATTACGTAGGGTTTTCCGCTCCCAAACACAACGTTTTTCTGGGAGAGCTGGTCGCTACAGGGGCCGAGCTACCAGTAGGGCAGCCTTTGCAGGCTACAGGCCCCGACCCACAGACTATTGGTCCTCAGGATCCACGCGACCTTACCACAGACAACTATTCAGCACCAGAGGCTCTATTCGAGGACGTGGCTCTGCATCCCTGCGCGGACGCATTGCTTCAGGTAATGCACCTTACTTATTTAAAACATGTACCAATCGCAGGTCGATTAACCCTTTTTTTCCAACAGCGGAAACTACTTTCTCAGGATCACAGGATCCTTCATACAGTCAGAAGTTTCAAAATAGATTTTCTCACACACCCCATTCAGCGATCTCCTCCGACACCTTTAGAGATGTCAAAAGCAGACACACTAACCTTAAATTCAGAGTTGCACAAACTACTGGACAAAAGGGCGATCGCACCTTCGCCTTTCCCTTACACATTCCTCAGCAACATTTTTCTTGTACAGAACAAGACGGGAGACCACCGTCCTATTATCAATCTCAAAGAACTGAATCATTTTATCAAATACCGTCAATTCAAGATGGAAGGTATCCATCTTCTCAGGGACCTACTCTGCGTGGGAGACTGGTTCTCCAGATTTGACCTCAAGGATGCCTACCTGACCGTCCCAATCGCACCAAGTCATCGTGCCTTCCTTCAATTTCTATGGCAAGGCAAATTTGGCAGTTCACCTGCCTCCCTTTCGAACTTTGCTCCGCCCCTTGGTGTTTCACCAAGTTAATGAAGCCGGTCATGGGGCTACTTCGTTCTCAGGGAATACGTTTTATCATATATCTAGACGATATCCTGATTATGGCCCAAGACCAACATCTGCTTTGCAAACACATGCACATGACCTCTACCCTCATTCAAAACCTTGGTTTTGCTATAAATTTCCAGAAATCAGATCTGGAACCCTCTCAGATAGTCCAGTTTCTGGGTTTTCAAATAGATTCAATTCAGGCAACCTTGCAACTACCCTACCCCAAAATCAAAAACATAAAGAAAGAAATTCAAAAATTACTCACTTCACAACGACCTCGGCTCCGCGACCTTGCACACATTCTGGGTCTCCTGTCCGCATCAATTCAAGCTATTTTTCCCGGGCCCTTACACTACAGAGCAATGCAACGGTTGAAAACTTCCTACTTGCATCGCTCAACCTCTTACGATCAATTCATATCTCTGACAGATGAAGTTCTCATCGAACTCCACTGGTGGCTTCGCAATATGGAAGCCTGGAATGGGAAAGCGATCTTTGGATCTCAACCAGATTTTATTCTGGAATCCGATGCAAGCCTCTTGGGTTGGGGTGCTACATGCGACCAAACTTTCACAGGGGGTCTCTGGTCCCCATCAGAGCAGGCGCTCCACATAAATTGTCTCGAGCTCATTGCTGGATCCTTAGCGATCCGCAGCTTTGCCAAGGACGCCTCCAACTGCTCCCTGGTACTACGGATGGACAACATCTCCGCGGTACGTTATGTAAACCGACTCTGAGGTTCCAAATCCAAACTTCTGTCCGATCTCACCAAGGACCTGTACCAATTCTGCCTAGACAGGAATCTGTCCATTCGAGCAGAATATCTCCCAGGACCCGACAACTTAGTCGCGGACTTGTTTTCACGTCACTGGAGAGATGCCAGAGATTGGCAATTAGACCCTTTCCTATTCCACCACATTCATCTATTACGGGGGCCCCTCACGCTCGACCTCTTTGCGTCTCATCTGAATCATCAGACAGACGACTTCTTCAGCTGGCTACCAGACCCTCTGTCTCTGGCAGTCGACGCTTTTCTCCAAACTTGGCCGCGGAGTGGAGCCTATGCTTTCCCTCCTTTCTCAATGATTCAACGGACCCTCCACCGGGTCAAAGCGCAAAGGGTCAAGATTGTGATAGTCACTCCACGTGGTTCCCCACCCTCTTATAACTATTAACAGACTACCAACATCCTACTACTTCGCTCCTTTCGGGTCCTCAGGAACCCAACGGGCAATTACCATGAAATACAGGGCCATCTTCAACTGGTAGCTTGGACAGTTTCAGGGGAGCTTGGCATGTCGCGGGACTTTCATGCACTGCTCAAACACTCCTGTGGGATTCGTGGGTTCCAGGAACCAGACGAACCTATCTCTCCGCATGGCGGATTTGGGTCAGCTGGTGTCTGGAGAGGGATCTCGATCCCGTTTCAGCATCTCTTTCATCCATTCTAAATTTCTTATCATCTCTTTTCGATCAGGGTAAATCATACCGATCGATTAATATTTTTCGCTCCGCCATTTCGGCGGCCCATGACACTGTTGATAATTCCTTGGTAGGGAAACACCCTTCTGTGTGCAGACTTTTACGGGGCATACGTTTGACAAGGCCACCTACTGCCAAATACTCTAATTTCTGGGATATTTCTAAGGTTTTCACACTGTTGGATTCCTGGCCGCGTAATGAGGCCTTATCCCTACGCCAACTCTCTGCGAAATTGGCCCTACTCCTGTGCCTGGTGTCCTTCCGCAGAGTTTCAGACGTTCAAGCCTTTGACTCTCATGTTGTGACCTTTGCACCAGACGGTGTCAGATTTACCATTACTAGACGCACTAAGACAAATTCATCTTCAGTCTTTTATCCATACTTTCCCGACAGACCGTCTCTCTGTGTAGCCCTATGTACCCGTTGTTACATTGAGAACACTATCTCTCTACGTCCCCCTACTGGACCTCTTTTTGTCTCTTACGTTAGACCTCACAAACCGGACTCTTCCCCCACGATCGCACGCTGGATAAAATGGTTGCTTACCCAAGCAGAAATTGATAGATCATTCGGAGCTCACTCCGTTAGAGGAGCGGCCGCATCCTCTGCTTTTCGCGCAGGCAGCTCGCTGGCGGATATTTTATCCTCTGCAGATTAGTCAAGGGAATCTACCTTTCGCACTTTTTATTTTAAACCAACACCACATGCGGCTTGTTCCTTTATTCAAGAGCGTGAAAACAGCAAACATGAAGCCTCTTGTCTTGCCATAAAATTAGGGATTATTCAAGTTTACAGTGAACGAATAATCTAAATTTTATTAAAAGATAGGAGGCGAATATTTTCCCTCCCTTCGTTCACTCTGGAGCCCACCCTCAGGGTATGTCTCCTGTTCTACGCTTATTGCATTGTACACTCTCTTGCAATTTGATTTGTAGGTATACGATTTGTTAGCCTAGTAAGATATAATCCTACGTCACATTGTACCGTTATGTTCTTTAAACCCTACCAGATAATCTGAGTTAACATTTTAGAGTGCGTACTTATGTTTTTTTCTCTTGTCCAAGAGACCATACTTTCACGAAGTTTCTCTTCTCTTCTAGTGTGAAAATTTCAGCTTGTTCTACTCGACTACACGTTTACATGATTGACTTCACTACGAGTTAAAGCTTCGGAATGTTTCCAGTTTACAGGGTTGATTCTACTACTGATCGGCATCACCAATAAAGAGGAAGTGGGAGGAGTCTGGTGGCACTATATTGTTCTATGATGTGTTATGATTGGTTGAATTTTTTTACAACATTGTTAACTATTTCTTTGCTGCTGGGAGTTACAGTAAAGAAAGATAAGCAAATATTCGCCTCCTGTCTTTAATAAAATTTAGATTATTCGTTCACTGTAAACTAGAATAATCCCTAATCTGCGCCCAAACTCCTTTGTGTGATTCTTATAAATTTTTGTCAGTATGTATTCCCTCACTCTCTTAATTGATATATATTACATTTTTCTCTCGTCTCATTTTAGAGCCCTCTCTTGAAGCCAGATATAGGCAGAAGTTACATTTTTGAAGAATACAGTTTTTGCTTCATGAAACACTAGAAGTCTCGAAAGGAAACCCCAGTAGTATTTGACATTTTTCCTTAGTGTCTCAGTCACTGTAGCATAGGAACGTCATTTTTTCCTTGTTTCATATGATAGGTCTGGGAACACTTTGAAGTCTTTAAATTCTTCTTTCTTACTGTTTTGCCTTGACGCTTTTCTGATTTCCTCCTTAAAAATATAGGAGTTACAACACACCATTACATCTCTTGGGATTTCCTTTAACAAATTGCTTGGTTTCTGGATTCTGTGATGTCTTTCCAGGAATTTGTATTTCTCATCCATCTGGATTCCTAATTCCACAAAGTACGATTTTAGGAAATCTTCCAATTTTTCTTGATTTATGTCTTCTGATATGTTTCTTATCCTCAGATTCTTTTGTCTGGAGCGATCTTCCATATTTATGATCTTTGACTCTAATTCTTGAATTTTCCAGTTTTTCTTGCTGTTCTATGATCAAACATTCTGTATGTTCCAATTTATCTTCAACCAGTCTGATCTTTTGTCCAATTTCTTTTATCTCCTTTTTTTAATTCAGAATTATTATTCATAATCTCTTGTTTTGTAGCAAGTAATTGTTGCTCAAAACAGCTTTTGAGTAAGTCTGGTGTTATCGGAGAGATGTCTATCGCTTTTACAGTCTCCATCCGAGTTATGTCTCTCTCCTTGCTATTAGGACTAACTTCAATTAAGGATACTTCTGATATCTATTTTTTCCAGTTTGAGATAAGAAAAAATTAGATAATCTCTTTAATTTCCTTTTTCTCTCCCTTATCCCTCTCTTTGTATTTACTGGAAGAGAACTTTGAATCTTGATTTCTTCTAGTTGACATCTTTTTTCTTTCCTTTATCCTTCCCTCCTTTCCTTTTTCGCCCTTTGGTTTTTTCTTTTCTCCGTTCCTCTTTTTATCCTCTGTTTTGTTCAGGAGTCTGATACTTATTCGAAAAAAACTTTCTCTGTTTTAGCCCATAAATGTCAAGGAGTATAGTCCCTTTTTTAAAGTGAGACTAAAGATTAAGTAAGTATTCAGTTGTGCTAAAAGGGGCTATGTAAAAACAATACAAACAACAGACAGTGCTTGGTTCAATTTTTACACCATCAACAGCAATAAAACCACATGAACAGCAGCTGTACATGCACACACAAAAAAAGTAAAAAGCGGGGTTTGAGTCTGGATGGTAGGGCATAGTTTAATGATTTTGATGTGAACTGGAACTCCAAAATAGCTGCTTGTGCCAGGAGCACACATATTCTAAACTCCCTACTGGGATTGTCTCTAAAACAAGTCGTTGTTGAGCCAACTCGTAAAGAGGCCATACTAGATTTAGTGTTAACAAATGGAGATTTGGTATCGGATATTACTGTAGGTGAAAGTTTAGGATCCAGTGATCACAAGTCAGTGTGGTTTAATATAAGAATAGTGACTGAATCACACCCCACAAAAACAAAAGTTTTAGACTTTAGAAAAACAGACTTTTCTAAGATTAGAATATGTGTAAAGGAGTCATTATCAGACTGGAGCAATTTAAATGGAGTCCAAGAGAAATGGGATTATTTAAAAGTTGCACTGCTGAAGGCAACAGAAAACTGCATTAGGCTTGTCAGTAAAAGCAAAAATTCAAGAAACCACTGTGGTACTCAGCCGATGTGGCCAAAATAGTAAAAAACAAAAAGTTAGCATTTAGTAATTAGGAGAAAAAAAAAAAAAAGAGTGTGGAAGACAGATCAGGCAGAAAGAGGCTAAGCAAGATATAAGAGCCTCCAAATCACACACAGAAGAGAAAATAGTCAGTATAAAAAAAATAAAAAAAAGGGGGGGGATTAAAACATTTTAAGATACATAAAATGAGAAAGTATTACTTTACTGAGAGGGTAGCAGATGCATGGAATACCCTTACAGCTGAAGTGGTAGAGGTTAACACAGTGAGGGAGTTTAAGAATACGTGGGGATAGGTATAAGGCTATCCTAGACTTAAGATAAGGCCAGGGACGAATTAAAAGTATTTAGAAAATTGGGTAGACTAGATGGGCTGAATGGTTCTTATCTGCCGTCACATTCTATGTTTCTAGGGTCATTGATCTGTACCGATGCAATTAGATTAGACAGAGGATTTTGTGCTATTTGGTTGTGTATAATCGAATGAGAGATATATATATATATATATATTTTTTAAAAGGTGATTTTCACATCGAACCGAATGTTTTTTTTATACCACAAACTGTTCCCTCTGCTCTACTTTTAATATTATACCAGGATAGATGCTGGAGTGCAAAAATATTTAACTCGCATTAGACTTCACACACTGACAATTATGACATGTCTCATTTACTTAATTTAGCAAACTATTAATACTTTTAAAAAAGGATTTTCAATTTTTACAACAAATCAAGTATTTCTAACTCTGCTCTTACCGATGATCCTCACTCAATCTTTATTTAAACTTAATATGATAGAACTTACAATTAAAAGGGATCCTATAGTGCCAGGAAAACAAACCCGTTAAAATCCCTCCAGCCACTTACCTTAATTCACCGCTGGGGACCTCTCCTCCCCCGCCGCCGTCAGTTCCCAAGTAGAGCCGAATGTTCATTCACGGCCAGAGGCGCGCACACATTCAAACCCACCCATAAGAAAGCATTACTCAATGCCTTCCTATGGGGATCTTATTTGACGCGGGACTCAGTGAGGACGTCCTGCAACAAATAAGTGCAATTTACTCAGTGTAAATCACGGAAGCAGCCTCTAGTGGCTGTCAGGGAGACAGCCACTAGAGGCTGGATTAACACTGCAGTGTAAACTGAAACTGCTATGTTTTCAGCTGCAGAGTTCAAACTAGGGGGACCTCATTGAGCTGAAGCGATCTGGGTGCCTATAGTGGTCCTCTAAGTTTAGAAAATTATTGCTGTCAGGAGTTTAATACATTTTTTTTTAATTTACACCATGCAACAGGTAACCGTTACCCGTAATGAGGTCTTTAAAAAGATCAGGTTTTTGAAAGTTCAGAAAACAATACTTTATGTAAAAACATATTGTGTACCCCGAGCAAACAAGAACAGTCTTTAAAATTGTACAAATAAGAGTCTTTGCCTTCCTTTTCTAACTGAAAAGAAAATTCTGCTGACTTGGGGGATAAGATATTTGCATAGGCTGAATGTTTTCACCAGGTAACTGTTAAAATGTGGTACAAAAACATGTGTTAAAGTCATTTTCTAGAAGTCTCAGATCAGACAGTTTGCATGGGAGCAGGTTGGCTGCTCTGCACAGGCTTTAAAACATCAACTGGTTTGTCTACTGCAAGGGACGTTTCCTTTTTCATAGTCATTGTTGCAAAGAGAGTGTCCATCATGCCTAAAACTTCTAGTAGCTCTTCTTGGTAATTGATTTCTTTGTCGAGTAGTTCTTGGAGCTTTAGAAACTGCTTATCAATTAACGGAGACTTCCCAAAAATTGGTCCATAGATATCTGGAAGTAAAATAAATAAATAAAAATAAAAATCTTTGGAATAGTTGTGTTTTCAGAAAGGAACAAAAAAAATTAACCTAATTTTTTTAAAATATGTAAAAAACCAAGCCCTCTAGTGCCCTCCCAGAGTAAACAAGCCATTGGAGAACTGCCTGCTTTGCCGTTGGAAGCTCTGCCGCCAAGCCTCATCATTAACGAGCACTCAGCTGACACTGGAGCATGGGAGACGGAGACATGTGGCGATTGGACCCTAGGTGATTTGCCTAACGCTTCTTTAATAACTGCAGTGTTATGAGTCTGGCCACGCCAATGATTTTCTTATCCAAGAGGCATCACTATGCAGATAGCAAAGATATCAATTACTAAAGTTGCCATGGTCACACGTACTTATTGTGTTTGATCAAAGCTCTACTGGAACTTCAAAAACATTTTTGCATTACTAATCAGTGTACCAGATGAGAAATGTATTTCTCTCCTAGTGAGTGGGTATATAGGAATGTCAGGGACATTTTTAAATGGGTGGCTGCATGTCTGGCTCTGTTTTGCATTGCCAGTCATAGTGTGCTGCTCACATAACCCATTGCCTTTGGTTTGTTTTTCTTGCCTTCTCTTTTTTGATTCATATAATGAGAACACACAAACCCTCAAACAAATCACAGCACCCTCACACACATCATCCCCCCACCCCTTCCTTTTAAGATTGTCATTGAAAGCATACACTTACCTATAACTTGGTCTGCCACATGGACTAAGATTGGACCAAATCTTGGTTCTACCAGATTTCTGTTCAGAGGAAAAATGAAGAGTTGCCAGTTAACTACATCTCATGTCGACCTTAAACACTACTACACAAAACCACTGAAAGTAAAGTTATTTTAACTACATAAGAATAGTTTGAGGAAAAAAAAAAAAACCAAAAACCCACATCTTTAGTAGCAATCAAACCATCATTATTGTTGAAAAGTGAGATTTGAGATCAGGAGTAACATCTCGGTCTTACTTCAGAAGGAAGGTGAGAAGAAGGTTGAGTTGTTTTTCATCCCGTCCAGCTAGAGCATTTTTAAGTGTTCTTCTTCGCTTCAGTTCATTCATAACCGCTACGGTCACTTCAGGCCTCTGGATTCGAAGTGGAGCCTAAGAAAGATGAAGGGAGGACGGAATCTTATTAGAAGAAATCCTGCAAAGTGCAGATACACAGCTGATAGTAAAAGCACTCGTACAGCCTTGGCTAACAGACCGTGTTCTTTCACTAAATCAGTGGTCTGAGAATCGTGGATTGGAAGACAGGAAGCATGTGAAGTCAGGTATTTTCCTACTATACCCTACAAATGCCACAAAACATGTTCTAGTAGGTAAAGTCACATGGCCTTCTGCAAAATACATTTTACAGATTTTCTACATTGTAGCATGAAAAGAATTAGATTTCTAATTACACTTTCTCAATAGTTCTAGTAAGAATGGTGGGGACTGGAAAGCCAGGGAGCAAGTAAAAACCAGAGATTACACTTTATTTCTCTCTCTCTCGATATAAACTAGCATTAAAAAAAAAAAAAACACTTTAGAAGATTATCGTTTGAGAAGAGAAAAAAAAACATTGAGCAGTTTGTAGGTTACTTCATGAACTACTTCTCTTTATGTATTTTGGTTTATTGAGGAAAAGTGAGGGCATGATACTGGTTTTACACAAATAGTTTAAGTACAATTAATTTACCAAGGTGAGAATTGAAAGTGAATTTCAAAATTTCAGGCCAAACTAATCAAATTGGAAGCTTCAATAGAAGGTTGCATTGTAACATTCCAACGCATTACTATGTGATTATTGGTGCTCTGCCTCTTCAAATCATTATCTTCCGATCTGTGTCTAGTCATGGGAAATATGATACAATCAATAACAGAGGAACACAATGAATTGCGATGGTATGGCAGCATTGCCTCCTAAAAAAGTTGAAATCCCCATCTTGCAATTAACATCAGTTGCAATTTTGTATGTTACCAACTTCAATGGTGCTAATGATTTAACGTAACAGTGTATAGACAGTCACTATAAAGACAAAAGAGACACACATGCTTACCTCCAAAACTGCATCGAGGGCCTTTGACACTTCAAAACCTTTAAGCAATTTGTCGTATTTCTTTAAGTGTTCCCTTACAGGTTTACTGATAAAAATGTCGTCCTGAAAAGAAAATGACAAGACAAACACGACAAAAATAAATAAATTCTATTAAACAATTTCAACAAATGATTTTTGTGAGAGCGGAGTATGATGTTAATATTAAGAGAATGTTTGCTGAGCGAATTTAACAACTTGCGTTATAAAAATACTACAAGTCTCTGAATGGACAGTGACATTACAGCATGAACAAATGACAATTCTCCAATTTAAGCAGAAAAGGGTCAGGGTGATTTACCAAAAGTTACGAGCTGCCCCACAATCCGGTGAACAGGATTTAATTTGCTATTACAGTACCTGTTTGGGCATGTAGTCTTTGCCTCGGACAAACATCCTGTAGCGTGGGTGCCTCTTTTTGGTAGTTTGAGAGGTAATTTTTTCTGCAGGTTTCCGGTGTTTAATGTTTAACACCCCATTGGTCATTCCAACTACAATCATTTCATCGTCCGGCTAGAATACCATTTATAAAAAAAAAAAAAAGTGTAAGCGAAAGGATTTACTGATCATATATAATAAAAATCAAGAATTTATAATTTATTAGTTGCCCCCTGAATATTCTTGATCAATAATCAATAATGCAAGTTCATTCTTGTATAGTAGAAATAAATGCCAAAAATACGAGAAGGAAAAAAATAAAAATAAATAAATAAAGACAAATTCAAATGCACTTTGACACTTACCGCCAACGCAAGGCTTAGAATGGAGGCTGCGTAGTCAAAACTGTGAACTACTTTATAGTTCATTGTGCTGTAGATCTTCACGTGCCTGTTATAAAAACACAACAGTTCCTACTTTAACTCACAATTAAAACGGCATGCAATAACACAATAAAACATGCAGAGAAATAGTGCACAGACACACAGGATCTGCAACCCCATTGCTGCTCACATTACTACAAGTTACCAAGCAGAACTCTAGAACTATTCAACTGTATGGTCCTCACTCACTTACAGCTGGTAAACCACCAGCAGTTCTCTTACTGTGTTTAAACAATGTATAAAAGTTACAGTAAAGCCTCATTACAAAGGTAACATACATTAAAAGGAAATTTGATGCCAGTATGAACTAGAATTTCAGGCACAACAAAAACAGTATATTATTTCTAGAATATGTGGTGAAAGTGAAGACATACTCGAGCAAGCTCATTCTGGATATGTCAAGTGGGTAAAAAAAACTAATAGGTCTATTGGGGGGGGTGGGGGGGGAGGAGTGATCTACGTTCTCTTGCGAGTACAATATCTCAAAGTGCAGAAGGAAAGAAATGAAAGCGTAGTGCGTACCGATCGAGGGAGCCAGACAACAGCCTCTGACCAGAGCTGCTTAGACACAACGAAGTGACGGTTTTGTGATGATTTCTTAATGACACGAGTAATTGGCCACCTTTCAGCATGTCCCAGACTTTGACATATCGTCCACCTGAAAGGGGAGAAAAACAGTGAAATTAACATCTGTTAACAAATAACTTCAGCAAAACACAAAGGATCCGTCTACCCCAAAACTGGGACAAGCAAGAACTGGGGACATTGTTTCAGAGCAGTTATTTAAGACATGATGGGGAGTGTTATTGCCAAAAAAATTGGCATTTTAATGCAGAGGTTACTTGTCTACCTGAAGGTAGATCATCTCACCTGTACTGCACTATATGCCAGAAAAATACAAATATATTGTGTGGAAAAAAGGTTCATCTTTAATGAAATGGCATTTCACGTATTAATATTAATCACGTACCCAAAAGTAGAACAAATGCATTATATTTAAGGAACATTTGGAAAAGTGAGATCTATGGTGGAATGAGAGACTACAGAAAGACAGAGTATATGGTTACATTTCTATCACATTAAAAATATACATGCATAGAACTAGATATTATTAATGTTCAGACTATGTGCTGCCATATCTACACATAATGCCATGGGCAAGTGGTCAGTCAGTACTGCCAGAGAGGAATAACCGTATTACTAAACAAGTAGATCAGTACCAAGTTGGAAGTGATGTTCTTGGATGTGGCCTTATCCGCACAAAGACGAATACAAAAATGTTTGCAGGTGACCAAACACTAGAATGACTGACAAAGAGGAATACTGTGGCTTTGGAAGTCTGACTCAAGAAGTCTGTTGCAACCAGTGGGACTGCTTGTAATATTTTGTCAGATCTTTGGAAGTCTGACTCAAGATCTGAAAATATTACAAGCAGTCCAACTGGTTGCAACAGACCTACATTAGACAGACCCTTGGCAACAGCCAAAAATGGTTTACTATAGCAGAATTGTGTTCCTAAATTGTGTTGAGATTCCTCTGACACTAGAGTCAAATACAAGGGTTTTCCTGAATTAAGTTTAATTAAACGTAAGTAACTTAAAAGCTAGGTTAGATATAATGGTCAAACTATTGCAACCATATTGGTGTACTGTTTAACCTCTTGTGTATTAGAGGTACTTTATCTATAAACAGCAGACCCTGTTTTGCAGGAGGAGTTCAGAGGATACTAATACCCCACCCTCCCATCTTGAATTCACTGACATTGTTTATAGAAAGTGGCTTAACTTTTTACTATTAAGTATCTTTGTATTTACACCTCTCTTGCTAGCAAGCGTCAGGATTACCTATAGTCTCTATATTTCTACTGACCATTATATCTAACCTAGCTTGCAACTGTCTCCTATACCTCTTTATTTTACAGGTATTCCCTGCCTCTTTTCTATTAACCATTGCAACCAACTGTTGTGCTGTTTAACCCCTTGTGCACTAGAGGCATTTCATCTATATTCAACCTACCCTGTTCTGCAGGAAGAGTTTTGAAGATACTAGTATCCCACTTTTCTATTTAGAATTCAGTTACATTGTTCATAGCATGTAGTTTTACTTTACACCAATAAGTATTTCTTTGAAGCAACACTTCTCTTGCTATTGGTTCTATTAAAGGTTTAATACCCCAACTAGTTTATAGGACATTATTTTGTAGCCTTGTGCTTTTTGTTTTGCTTTTATCTTTTCTATTTTACATTTTAATATATCCATTAAAAGTTATTTTTTTATGCCCATTTTATTGTGACCATATTTACCAAAATGTTGAGACACTTTATGGTAGTTTTTTTCTTTTCTTTTTTGTATTCATATAAGTTTAATTAAACAGTTAAAGAATGGATCATTAAAGGACCACTATAGTGCTAGGAAAACAAACTCGGGTTATTAGGTCCCCCCTTCCCTCAGGGCATCCTACCACTGGGCTGAAGGGGATAAAACTTCTTCAGCCACTTACCTTTCTCCAGCACCGGTGACCTCTCCTCCCCCTGTTCCAAATGCACGGCCAGAGCCGTGTGCACATTCAAACGGCCAGTGCGAGTTCAATGCGATTTTCGCATTGAGAATCGTGGAAGCGGCCTCTAGTGGCTGTCAGGGAGACAGCCACTAGAGGCTGGATTAACCCTCAATGTAAACATAGCAGTTTACAAACCTTTATGAGTCACAGGACAGATGATTACAGCTTGAGTTTGTAAAGTTTGGAGGATCATTGCAGAGTCGTAAACACTGCTTAAAAGATTGAATCTCTGACCTCCTGGATTCCAGTGGGCATGTACATTCTTTTTATACACAAACTGGAACAATTACTCACCAGCTGAAACAAGAAGACCCCCAGAAGGAAAAAGAAGCACACTTTCTACTGGCTGCTCATGATCCATTGTCAACACACTCTTTTCCGTTCGCGTATCAAACACTTTGATAGTATGATCATATGACCCTGTAAAAGTACAAAGAAAAGATCATGAATTTAACTGCAGCACACATGGAACAGTCAAACCTTTCACTATTAATATCACTCAGTTTATAATTTGTGTTTCTTTGATAACAGTGTGTGGGCTCCAAAGCCCTCTGGAAGAAAGGCAATGAGTTAGGAAGGGACAGACACAGGAATAAGTATGGGGATATAGGGCAATATCCCAGGATTAGTGGGTCATCTTAAGTCTCCGTTCAGCGGTGAGACCAGTAAGCCCAGATTCGCTTGCATCACTGTGGCATGCAGTGTGGAGGTTTCAGCTAACTCGGAGCTTCAGACTTACACGTCTGGCGCCATTAGCAGTAAGGCCACGCCCCCATCAAGCAGTGAAATGTTTAACCATTAACTGCAGTGATAAAAATTTGTTTAGCTACTAAGTCTGCATGTGGGCAATGTAGCTGCTAACTAACATTCAAACAGATTATTTTTTTAAATTAAAAAAATAAAATATACCGGTTACAAATAGATCTTCATTCAGTTTGCTGGTACAGCCGCATCGCACATAATCTGTATGCTCCTTGTAGTTTACAATCTCAGCTCCATTTGGAATGTCCCAAATCTTGGAAGAATAATCATCAGAACCGGACAGTATCCGATACTTATCAGATGTGAAGTCCACAAAATGTACTGATCTGAAAGCAAACGCACAAAACAGCATTGTTACACAGAACTCCTTTAATTATTTTTACTTTTAGGCATTCATGCGGTCTTTTTCCAGTAAAGAAGTTTATTTTAAACCAATCTGTCTAATGAAGGTACAATGGACAATAACAGGGTAATTCAATAAAATAATGATGAAGCATTCAGAGTGAAGTTCGAATTTCAGTCCTAAATATGAGAACAGGAAACAGAGGATTTTTCATATTTAGGAGAAAAATATATATATTTTAAATTTTTTTGTTTTTCCCCAAATGGTTTTCAATTCATTACAATTCAGTGTTTAGTTAATAAAGTCTTTTATATTCCGGTTACCCAATACCATAGTGTGCACCATCAAGGGCCCCACAATAGAATAATGCAAAATTCACTGCACATCGATACACTAAGCGAAGTTGAATCTTGTACACAAGGTAATGGGATCCTAGAAATTCAACTGTACTGCCGGTTAATAAGAATGTTAAGAAACATATTGCCAGTAACTAAAGAAATACAAAACCCACAATGAAGTTAATCATAAAATCTAGTATGGTCTATCTCTCTGATCCATATAAAAGTAATCTACCTGCTTCTGACAGCTCAGTAAATATGAACTCTGCGCCAATAGGTATTCTTAGTGATTCTTAACATAAACATCGAACATAATATCACCCAGAAGTGTTAAGGCTGGCTGGGCAGCATGTGAAATTTGGGTATGGTTAGTCATTGCCAGTGTTCTCTTCTGGGAAGGATAATTCTGTGGGAATGTCTGCCAAGATGTAATTATCGAAATAATTTTTTCTTTTTCTTTTAAAGTGTTGCTTCAAGCACCATAATGACTTCAAAACACTGGAGTCTGTATGTGCAGCATTTTAGAAACTCTACACACAGATATTTTATTTTGCTGCTTGAGGTGTAACTCAACCTGCAGCAGTATAGTCAGTTTGGAATGTAAATTCTGTGCATATTCCATGCACAGAGTTTTATTCATTAGCTGAGAGCGATCAGATGATACTCTCCACCAAAGAATGATTGACATCTTCTGCAGAAGCCTGATGGGTACCAACAGGTTTATAGGAGGTTCGACGACTAGCAGGAACCCAGGTTAGAGGATAAACTGTGGCAAAACGGTCTACCGAAAATACGTTCTGTGACATTTCATACTAAAACCAATAATACCTACTTGTTATGACCGTAAAACTGTCTAAGAGCAGCTTTTCCATTGATGTCAAAGAGCTGAACAACTCCATCTTCACAGCCTGCGACAAGCAGCTTGCCATCATCTCGATATGTACCACCATAAGCGGTATCTTTGAAGCGGGAGAAGGTTTTTATAGGTTCTTGAGAATACTGCCCATAGACATGAATCTGGAGGAAGAAAAATTCAACTTTATTACTTGGCTAGCCATCAGGACATTAGACCAAGAAAGAGAATCCAAAGAACGAAAGAAGAAATGCAACTATGTATGTTTACATCTGAAATCTTGGACTGATCCTACAGACAGCAAACAGGGAGGCTAGGTAAATTTACTGGCTCACACGAATGAGCGTAGATAAAGGGACACTCTAGACACTATAACCGTTTCAAATCATTTAATAGTGCCTATGCTATTGCCGTTCCACTCACTGCAATACTATTTTCAAACAGTAAAATACTGAATGATGGTCTCTGTATGCCCACATCCCAGGCCCCACTGGAGGCATGGCTAAGGCACCAATTGCAATTAAAACAATTTTTTGGGAACCCCCCAAAAAAAAAATCAAAAAGAAAAAAAAAAAAATCACAGAAACCTCAATATCTTACCATTCAGTTAGTACTGCTCAGGTCTCAAAGATTTTAGCTCAATTGTGCAATTACAAAGCAAACCTATGTTATTTACATTTCAAACCGATTCCACGTCTGAAAGCGCGGACTAAGTGAAGGGCAAGTTACTGAGGTTTCTCTGAGCTTTTGCTCATTCTCAGAGTTCTCCTATTCTGTTTTTGTTGTGGGGTAGAGATTAATACCTGCAATGAATGGCTGTAATAGGCCAATTGCTGTTCAGGCTAATGTTTCCTAATTAACTCAAGGAGCACATAGGGGGCAGGTTGTTGGGGACTCATTTAGCATGAAAACATTTGAAACTGTCCAACGTTGAATGGAGGGATGGATGGTGCCAGGGGTCTTCAGACACTATAACCACTTCATTGAGATGGAGGACTTACGGTGCCTAAAGCCTACATTTAAAAATGGGACTATAAAGATTGGGTTTAAAAGCAAAACTTGTACAAAAAAAAAAAAAAAGTTTACCATTATGTGAGAAGTACCTTTACAATTACACTTACCCTTGTAGAGGATGTGACCGCGAAGTTACATGGCTGTATAGGCGAGAAGTGTATTTTTGTGATGGCACCAAATTCTTTAATCTGAACGGGTGTCTAATGAATAAAAATACATGAAAAAGTTATTGATAAAATAAGCTATAAATTACGGTTACACCATCACGACAGAACAGAAATACTTGTACATGCAATGAAATGCCATCTAGTGTAAACTAATGTTTTGCGTTGCCCAGAAATATATTTTTATGTGTTACTACTATACTGCTCTCTTTACATCATTAACCAGTCATGTAAGACATAACCTTTGCCAGAATTAAAGAAATAGATGGAAAGCCCTTGGCTATTTAAATAATAGTTTGCAGTAAAAAAAAAATTAATGTCAATATCCAGGATGGAACAAACAAAATAAAAGTAACCAAAAATGTTGGCCTCTAAAGGGCATAGTTTGGGAAACTATACCAGGAGGATCTTAAGCATAAAAAGCACATGTTCGTATTTGGCCACTGATTAACTTTTTTCCATTTAACGTTTCTTCAAGATGCCAACAAAGATCAGGATATATTTAAATTGCAAACATCATCGAAACCAATAAAGCCACATCTTAAAAAGTATGCTTGCTTAAAGGACAGAAAAATGCTTCTACCACATACCATAGATAAAAACCTATTAAAAGTGATGTGTAAGAAAGAGCTAAATGCTTTAAAATGAACACTTCATTAAAATCCATCGTGTATCTAGCTTTTTTACAGCTTGATCCACAACAGATTCTAAAATAGGCACGAAGTACCTTGTGGTCTGACAAATCTTGGATACTGTACCAATAGATTCATAGGATTATAACTACTACAATCAGGGAAGTGTACCACGAGGCAAACAAGGCATTTGCCTCGGGTGACAATTTCCAGGGGGCGGCAAAAAACGCCGCCCCCAAATTCCCAGGCAATTACCTTGTTTGCCTCGTTTTATGGGAGCCCAAGAGCTGGCCACCTTTGGGCTCCCCCGGTCGGGTGGCGAGGGAGCACTTTCCCCTGAGCTCTCTCTGCTCAGCTCCCTCACGCAACCCGCAGTAATGCCAGGAGCCGGAATATGACATCCCAGCATCACTCTGCGGCGCGCGACTGAGCTGAGCGTGCTCAGGGGAAAGTGCTCCCTCGCCGCCCGCCTTTACTTTACTGTCCCAGCACAGGGATGGCGACATCTAGTAACTTCAGTCTGTCAGGATCCTCAATCTCATCAGGTAAGGGGATTTTTTTTTTTTTTTTAATTATTCCAATCTTCCCCTTCATCCGTGTTACAATGTAACAGCCATTGCTTGGAGCAGGTGAAAGGCAGCCTTTGTGAACTGCTACTATCACCACGCACTGGCTGCAAACATTCTAAGAATGTTGGGAGTTAGAGTCCATGATAGAACCTCGCCAATTCTTGCAGTCAGGGTGCACTGTGGTACAAGGTGCTAAATAGGAGGCACGGAGTTTTAATTAAATACATAGCACATGGAAGTGTCCGCAAATTTTACAATTGCAATTTAACCCTTTTTTAAAAAATAAATATGTATTCACCGGGTTTAATATTTTTCACTGCTGTGGGGAGAATTTTTATTTGCTCGGGTTGTAACGTAAAATGCACTTGTTATTCATTCACTTTTAGAGGTGCTGTAATGATTGCATATGGCTGTATATAAATAGATCATTTATGTATATGGGTGCTTTGTGTGTGTTTGTGCTCAGTGTAACCGGATATTGCCTAGGGCTACACTGGAGTGAGTGTGTGTGTGTATATATATATATACACATATATATACACACACACATATATATACACACACACATATATATATATATACACACACATATATATATATACACACACATATATATATATACACACACATATATATATATACACATATATATATATACACACATATATATATATATATATATATATATATATATATATATATATATATATATATATATATATATATATATATATATATATATATATATATATATACATACATATATACACACACACACACACACACAGACACACACACATATAACGCACATATATACAGACACACACACAAAATATTTGTCACCCTCCGGTTTCTACCTTTTAGGTGCAGGAGGGTGACTTTCCCTGGGGTCCAGTGGTGGCTCAGGTGGATGGGAGTCAGAGTTCCTACTCTGACTCCCTGGTCTTCCACCCGCGCGGTCTGTGTGTTAGCTGGGAGGAGTGACATGCAGTCACTTCCTCCCAGCGTGTGCTGTAATAACAGGGGGCCCGGTCACGCTGTTAAAGCCTGTCTGTTATAGTGGGCTATAGTAAGTGGGCTACCTAGCTCAGCCTTCCTACTGAGCATTGCTATAAGGAAGGTTAAAAAATAGAAAAAAAAAATGGGGGGAAAAAGGTGGAGAGGGGAATTGAGGATGGAGAAGAGATGAGCTGACGCACAGATGAGAAATCATATTATGCGCAAACAGAGAAGTCGTCTGAATATCACCGAAAGAGGAGACCTTCGTTTGTTCCTTACGAAAATCGAACCAGATATCAAATATTTAGTCTTGCAGCATCAGCCTCAACGATCTCATTAATCACTAGTAAAGGTAATTTCAATTTACTTTGTTTTCTCATTAAACTTTATAAAGTTAAAAACATTATAAACATGCATTAAATAGAAATAAAGATAAATGTACGTAATTTATATTTTTTTAAAAACACCCTCCTTTCTAAAAAATATTCTGCACTTGCACGAAAACTGGTGGGCGGTAAGGAAATTTTTCCATCAAGAAAGATGCATTATTGGGCGGTAGTTAGAAAAAGGTTGACAACCACTGCACTACATAGTGACACGTTATCTTTGAGATATTGTACTGATTTTACGGAGAGGGAAATCATTTGGTCCTTTGATACATATCTATCCTTGTTACAATCCACCCCTTGCAAACCTCAGGATTTGCAGCAAATAGACTCCTACATCATGTTTAGCACATACAAAACTATCAGTTTCTGTTTCCTTTTACATACTGCAACTACATACAAACGTAACCACAAAAATGAAACAAAATTAAAACTTTTCGTTCAGAAATGATTAAAATAAAGATAGTTCTGTTACCTTGTAACGCTTCCAGTACAGGGTATCTTGCGTTATCTTTTCACCAAGTTTGGGGAAAGAAGAGATAGCTACAGGCTTGTAGCTAGACATTTTGTCTTTGCTACGAAATGTGCCCCAAGGTAGGTAAATTTGATTCTTCAAAAGACCATGAATTCAGCTGAAATAATTACACAAACAAAAATGCAAATATGAATTAATAAATTAAGTAGCTATAATATTAATGTGCAAATAAATTTTGTTTAGTTACTCCAAAGTGAGATTTGATGATTACAGAAAAAAACAGCTAGTATTCATATTAAACTCAAGTCAACTTTACTGAGCTGGGTAATTACAACTATTTTCATTGTCAAATATCTCAAAAGCAAGTTTGCCATGATGCGTAGGAGGACATTGCAATTAATTTCCATTCAAAGACTGCAATAATGTATATTCCCAGGTAATGCTCTATACAGCATATACTGCAGTCATCTCCACTTTTGGTTTGCTTCTGAATAGGTCACACGCAATCTTGAGAAAGTGACCCAGCTGACTACAAGATAAGGAATTGACTTTTCTATTAGGGATATTCTACTTTGTGAGTGAACAAAATGGTGCTACAACAACAAAGTGAAGATATTTTCCGTACATTCTCAGACTTTTGAAAACGTTGTATTGTTCAGAAATGATCTAAAATATAACAAACAACTTTACGGCCACTGTGCTTCCAGTTAATCGATTCCACAATCTTCCTCAGTTGTCCTGTGCATACTGAATGAATTTGACTTTGGGACATTTTCCATGTGCATCAGATAGCAGGCTGTACTGTTATGCAAAAGGTAATAGGTGCATTTTTACTGAGTTGTTAAAAAGTGCTATTACCTCCACAGTTCAGTAGGGTGTAAGATCTGAACAGATGTTACAATATACCTTGTGGACATCCTACTATTGACATTAGCTGTTATAGATGGTATGAGTGCTAGCAGAAGTCACACATGGCCAAACAATCATGTAATATTACCAAGTTCCATGAAAGGAATAGTGTACATTTTTTTTCATTCACCAATATTTCGGAATTCCATCACTACGGCAGGGGTAGATTTTTTTGCTTTAATATTCTTCAGAAGTTGTGTCCAAACCTCTATTTATTTTATTCGTCCCATCCTGGGTGCTATCTATGGTTTGTAGATTGTGTTTAATCATCAGAGGTTATGCTAAAGTAGCCTTTATAGCAACATTTAAAACATACACTCTGCAGTAGTGTGATATTTTTATTTTTGCCAGTTTTTTATATAGCAATTTTGGACCCATCCAGGTCATCTGTCACGTGTGTTTTGTAGCCCACACTGATCTGTCACACCAATACTTCAGCTAGATTACTTTCACTTAATTCCCAATTTTCAGCTATATGGAGCTCCATCTTCCTGGCAGCGACATTACTTTGCTCCATTGGTTGAGAGAACAAAATCGAGCAGAGAAGGCATGTAGACAATTTAAGAAGTAAAATTCCATTTTACAAGCTGCACCGGCTAATACACACACGATGGTTAAAATTTCAGTAGTGGAACTCAGTTTAAATTAGTGGCCACTAGTTGCATTTTTAAAATAAATTTTTTTTTTTTTTTTTAAGTAACATTTCCACTAGACAGGAACACGTTTAGCAACATCAACACCTTCAAAAACAAGTCTTAAAAAGCCCTGCGTGATCTTTTTACATGGTGATAGTAAACTACCAGATTATATCTATATATAAATAGCGAGGGCTTGCACTCCTGGTGTAATCCTGTGGTGCCCGGTGCTGGTCTGGCAAGGATCATGTAGACATAGCAGAAATGACCACACTCCAAGGACTTTATAGAGATTTTCAAATAAATTGTAAACTTTTATTCAATCCATTTAAAAAGTCAACATTTCAGCTCACACATGGAGCTTTTCATCCTGACGAAAGCTCCATGTGGGAAGCTGAAACGTTGACTTTTTCATCCTGATGAAAGCTCCATGTGGGAGCTGAAACGTTGACTTTCATCCTGACGAAAGCTCCATGTGGGAGCTGAAACGTTGACTTTTTCATCCTGATGAAAGCTCCATGTGGGAGCTGAAACGTTGACTTTTTAAATGGATTAAATAAAAGTTTAAATTTTATTTGAAAATCTCTATAAAGTCCTTGGAGTGCGGCTATAATAATAATATAGCCATTAGTAGGCAGTCACCCTTTAAATGGATACCAAGTAGAATCCCCTCCTTACCCTCCAGCCCAGGGTGGGGGCCACGCTGTCAGCCACTTCCCATCAATAAACACACGTATAACACATTATTAACACATACCCCGCTGGCCCCTGGCCGCTGCCCGCGCTCTGCCCGCCGCTGGTTTCCGACTTGCGCTGGGATCACAGAGTCACGTTGCCAGAACTTCCCATGCAAGCCGCCATCTTGTCCCTCGACGCACTTCCGGTCACGTCGCAGCCGTAATTGCGTCACGTTTATGGGAAAGTGGTTTCGTGTCATTACTGGGCGAACAGTGTCCCGGACAGTACTGGTGGGTGAACTGAACCTGCCGCGACAGGTGGAAGTGTAAAATTCCGCCTTGGCCATCCCGCCAATAACCGTGGCTTCCGGGTTGTGTCGCGGCGCGATGACGCAAGCGGGAGTGACGTCACCACAAGCCAAAAACAATAGAAGACAGCTGAGGGTGAGCAGCATTGGGCTATTTCATGTCAGTAATAGGGGCTTCTATTAAAATAATGGGTGATTTGGACAAATTCTTCAGTCCAGCTATAGTTATTAAATGACTATTTTAGCCTCAATTTCCCATTGAGCCTTGCAATGTTCTCAGTTATTGCTCTTATTCACAAGCTAATAGTCTGCTAACCGGTAACAGTTCTTTCTTTCTTTCTTTCTTTCTTTGCATTGTGTTTTGATTTTAGGTTATTCTAGCTTTTTTCGTTAAGAAATAATCTTAATTTTAATAATGACAGGAGGCGAATAGTTTGCATTGTTTTTCTTTACTGAATTGATAACAGCAGCTTTAACAATCAAATACAGAAACTACCAATCAGAAAAAAAAAGAGAAACGCATAAGGAGTTGAGCAAAGTACATAATTTCCTCTTTCCTTGTAGCGAAAGTAAATGGCAAACAGGTAACTGCAGAGTCCAAAAACTTTTCCAGCCAGATCCTGGATGTAGAATCTAATTACGAAGACCAGTATTCATACTGAAACAAAAGAAAAATCTGTGAAAGACAAATTTAATCAAATATACAAAGTATCATAGCATAACAGTGGCAAGAGTAAATGTAATACAGTTCGTAAATACAATCTAATAAAACACTCACATAATATAATCATGAAAATGCAATACATGGCAAAAAAGAAAAACAGCAACAGAGGAAAAAGGGGGTCACAGAAAGGGATGGAAAAAATTTGCCTCCTGTCATTATTAAAATTAAGATTATTAAAATCCGCTGACCAAATAATGACTGCCAAAGAAACCATCAAAGAAAAGGCGTGGGCACATCTGTGCTCCTGACTAAATAAGCTCCTAGTGTGGAAGATATTGCTGAAATCAGAGATGGAGAGCTCTGTCGCTAGCCTCTTTGAGACCCAATCTCCTTGTCAATCAGCTTATTTGCTGAAAGTACGGATAGTAGAAATTGATCATTTACCCTCAGATAATCTGCAGAATCCAAGAGTCTGACGAAATCTGCTCCCCCTTCTGTGGAAAATAAAAAGACAGTCTGTGGTAAAACACTGGGAAGACCGTTTTGTCACATGGGGACTCACCAGAGGAGAATAGGATTCAACCTCGTCTATGGGAACCTCTACCTCTGTCAGAGCCTGTCAGTATACACTAATATGCTCAGCACACAGAACTTAAGTAAAAGCGTAAATAAAACCCCAAGTCGTATTACCGGATCTTAGAACAGCCTGTTTTAACATATAAAAAGAAAAGTACAAGACAGGCTGAGGTCAGGAATACAGAGTATATGTAAACGGTCAGGTAAGCCAAAGGTCAAGGAATAAATGTCAGTAAGCAAGCATAGGTCAAAATACACAAGAATAAATACCAGAAACAGATTCTCGGATAACCACAATGGAAACCACGACAGGGCACAGAGAAATGGACAAAGAAGGTTTAAATAGCCTAAGGTTCTCCTTGATTGTAGAGGAGCATGTGACAGTGGAACGTGCGTGTGACGTGTTCCCAGTGGTTAGGCACTAAGGGGTTAACTAAGAACCTTAAAAGATTTTGACTTGTCCTGTCAGCTCCTAGTCTGTGCTCAGAGTAAGGCCAGTGGGTGCCGCAGGAGGAGGTAAGTAATCTGAATGCCGCTGCAATGGGATGCACCCACCGGGTCCCAGTCTGCTCTCTTGCAGGAGCGGACCCGGCAGGTGTCGTGACAGGATGTAAGTATTCGGCGGCCTTCCCCTTGCTATGTGGGAATGCCGCCGCTCCCGGCTTTACTGAGCGGGAAACTGGGAAGGTCCAGTATTGTCTTGGTAGAAACTAGTAAGCTTTTGTGCTCTAGGACCATGATGTGGGGGGAACCTTTTGTAAAGCTGTCTGTACCTTATTAAGTATGGAGAAAACATTAACGTATCTGTTTAATTCTTTCAACAAAGGCTTCCAAAACTGCATAACCTGTGCTGATGGTCCCAACTCTTGTTGTTCTGCTTTGTTCAGAATACATAGCCAAATTGGCATTTCCCAGCAGGTGGATGCCCTCTGCACCCAATCTCTGATTAAGTGTGTATCCAGGGATGTCCCCGAAGTAATGGCATCGTCTGCTAATACAATATCTGAGCCATTGGTTCCGGTGTATCTAGCATCTTATCCTGCGTGAGCTTGAGGCCCTTCTCAAGGCACTTTCTAGGATCACGCCAATTACAGGCCATAAGCTGATGCCCTGGATGATCCTTTCGAGAATCGTTTAAAGGAGCGGGGTGGCTCCACTACTTAGCCATCTGATTCATGGGATGCATCAGAGTGAGTGTCACCATGGACTGTTTCAGGCTGATAAGCAGCTATACAGCTAATACTTTTAGTTTATATACACCCTGACTTGTTTACTGTTTAGTCAACCAAGCTGCACATGTGGTCGCTAAATTGCATCCAGTACAGTAAGAACTTCATGGAGATTATGAATTTTTAGAAAATTAAGTATTTTGTTTGACTTCCTTGACATGTGCTAACATTACATTTGTGTGATCTGCATCAAAATTATTCATAAAGGACAGTGAAAGCCAAACCATTACACCTGTTTCGCATATTAAAGTCAATACTTCTTTTTTTCCATTTAGAACTTCCCCACAAGAACGTGTTGGTGCTTGAGAAAGTTCTGTACAGAATTAAAGGAAGTATTAAAATGCAATAAATATATGCAAGTATATCATGTCGTCCCTTGGTAATCTTGAGAGCTCTTCGGAGCTCTCTGGTGAAGAATGTGTCAGTTTTTGTTTATCCAGCATGCCTGATATCAAAGTGGAACATGTGATGGAAGCAAACCCTGAAGAAGGAACAGCTCAGGGGGTTGCAATGGGAATGAAATTCATCTTGCCCAACCGATTTGACATGAATGTCTGCTCTCGATTTGTTAAGTCCTTGAATGAAGAAGATAGCAAAAATATTCAAGATCAAGTGAACTCTGATTTAGAAGTAGCATCCGTCCTATTTAAAGGTCAGTGCTTTATATACATTCCATAAAATGTTTGGTACTTAAAGCAGTTTATACTTTCATCAAAATCTCTTTCATTGCATATGCAGATTGCACAGGTTTGTCAATATGTACATTCCAGATACAAAACTAAGCCTGCGACTCTGTAGCAGTGCTTCTTAAACCCTGCATCTGGACTCTAAAGAGGGGTCGCCAGTTTTAGTGTTCACCTATAGTTCCAATCAAATGTTGGTGATCGTGTTAATCTTTACTTGTTTCACTGTCATCACATTTTGAATTTTTAACTTGTGATTAATTATATATTTACATATAATTCATAGTTACATATTACAGGAACACTCCAACTACCCTAACCACTACAGCCTGCTGTATAATATTATAATTAAAACCTTCAATTCTCCTAATTAATTTTGTAACTATCCCCTCCACTTTTTTTTTAGTTCTGTAATATCATTCTTTAAAATGTGCCCCAAATTGCTTTGCATATTCAAGGCGAGGTCTTACCATTGATTTATAAACAGGCAAAGTTACATATTTCCATTACATAATTTAATACACCTTTTTATGCATAACAGTCTGTTACGGGTTATTCAACTGCGACTGACACATTCCATTACATAATTTAATACACCTTTTTATGCATGACAGTCTCTTATGGGTTATTCAACTGCCGACTGACACATTGTTGCATAGTTTGTCATCTATAACTGTTTGTACACCTTTCTCATGTTTTCTCTCATTATCATTCAGGATATAAGTTAAATGTACACCTAACTCCAAAATGGATACCTTTGCATTTTTCATAGTGAAGCATTCAATTAATTTATATTTCTCAACCATCCCCATGCAAAAGTTGAGCGATTTTCATAAAACATTGGTTTTAGCAATAGTAACCCTTGCTGTGCTGATCTGCCCCTCTCCACCCCCAAATAATAATATAACAAAGAAAGAGAGTTAAAACTCACCTCGATCCAATGCCAAGGCCAGACCTATGCCTCTGGCAGCAGGGGTTAAACTCTTTTTGTACAGCATATCATAGCGAAACACACATACAGCCTCCAGATACTATGACGACTTCAAAGCAGTTTAGTGGTCAGGGTGCTTGGAGTCACCATTTAATAGGTGTCAAGCATGTAGATTTTAAAGAGCCTTTTGGCTTTTGCTACTTTGAACCAGATTGATCCAAACCACTGGATAAAAATGACCTTTACATATGCTGTTGTGAATTTAAAGTATATACCTGTGTGTAAAACATGTTGTCTTCTTGTATTGTAATAAATAATACTTTTTTTTTTGTTCATATCTCCAGCTGAATGCAACATCCACACATCTCCTTCACCTGGGATTCAAGTCAGACATGTCTACACACCGTCCACAACCAAACATTTTTCTCCAATCAAACAATCAACTACTCTGACAAACAAACACAGAGGCAATGAGGTATCCACTACACCCCTACTGGTAAACTGTAAGCACTTATTAAGCTTCATTATTATTGTTATATGTATCAGCAGATATTATATGTTCCAGTATCCAGTGTTACAACCTCTCCTTGCAATACCATGTTTCAGACTGAAACATAGGCTGTGTTCCATCATCATACACCCTCCTCCATCTCTGTTTTTGCAGTAACTCAACAGCCTGTTATTGTTTTAACATGTATGGTTCCACTAGAAGAAACACTTTAGGCGCCCAGACCACGTCATTTCGTTAAAGTGGTCTGGGAGCAGTGTTTCTGTCCCAGTTAGTCCTTTGAGAAACTGCAATAATTA